TGCCACTTGCTCTCTTCACGACCGCAGGCGAGTTCCAGAACTCCTCCGAGCTCCAGGCTCCTCATTTGCAAAATGAGGGTAATAACACTCACCTAGTGCAGCTGTGAGATGGTGTATGTGAAGTTAACCATGCATGGAAATCTGTGTGTGTGTGTTGTGTGTGTGTGTGTAAGAGCCACCTAGCTGGTTTGTTTTTCTGGTTCGATTTTAAATGTGAGAAAAGATATGCGAGAAAGCCCAGGGCAGGACAAAATAACCTAGTGGATGGCTTTGCCAGGATGTGGTCACAAGGACAGGTAGCGGTTCTGGTCCATCCCCCTTCCATCCTCCCTCCCTCCCTCCCTCCTCCCCCATTGCTACGGCCTGACCTGTCATTTCTTGAGCTGGTGGGTTGTCCCCAGCCACGCAGCCCTGGCTGGTGCAGCGGAAGCAAACTGAGGCAGAACTGATGCAGTCTGGGGAGATGGCCTCCGAGGGGGCAGAGGGGAGGGGAGGAGAGGGCAGAGGAGGGGGGACAAGGGGAGGGAGGAGGAGCGGAGAGAGATCTGAGGGAAGGGGCTCCAGGGGCAATACAGGACCTTCCATGAGTTACCAACCCACCTAGTCAGGAAGGTAGGCTAACACGTCAGTGTGGTTTGCACAGACACAGATGCACAACGGTTAAACACGCATACGAGAGCATGAAGGAATCACACCCACCCACTTAGCCACCTCCCCCACGCACACTCATGCACAGAGGCTAACAAACACATCAGACTTTATGCCTCCAACTGAGTGTTGTGTCCAACCTCCTCCCACACACCCCCGACACACACACCCAGAGTCTCCGTGCGAAGCCACGCACCTGTCCCGTGGGTGGGGGTGGGGGGTGGGGGGGACAGTGCCCAAACCTTTGGGAAAGTCTTCCCATGCCGTGACCCATCCACATGGGAAAAGAGATCTCATTTCCTTGGAGTCTGATACTGCTTTGTACCCAAGTGGTACCTCCTACTCTAACAGCCACTTTATTTCTCAAACTGGGAATTCAAGGCTGGTTGCAAAACAGGTAACATATGTCACCAACAAGCGGCTCTTACAACACTGGAAAAAAAAAAAAGAGTTCTAAGAAGGGTCCTGGACCATCAGTGTCACTGGAATAGGGGCACAGAGCCCTGCCTCCCCAGCCCCTGTGACCACCTAGGAGGAGATATGCTCGCTTGCAGATGAGATCTCTTGGCCTGTTACCAGATCTAGTCTATGGCACCACAGAAGGGGCTTGTCCCATAGATTCTCCTTTAATTCTTACTATAACCTTTTAAAGTAGGCATGTGCCCGATTCTCAGATGAGAAAACAAGCGCGTGGTGGCTGATTCTGGCCGAGGCCACAGAGCTAGGAAGTGGTAGGAGCGTGATTGTATTCAGGTGGCACCAACTCCAAAGTCCATGCTATTTGTACCCTGCCCCCCCCCCGGATGGATGTGGTCCCACAAACTCGCCACAGTCACTTGTGCTCAGTGGGATGCTTTCCTTCATGCAGATGTCACACGCACGCACACACGCATGCACACGCACACGCTACGCCCATTCTGTTACAGATTCCCACTGACAATAAAGGCCGGTGGAGGTTGGATGTGAATGCAAACGTCTTCCTTTGGAGACGGGTGGGAAACATAGTGAAATTTATGGCAGCACTTCCAATCTTATTTTCTCTTGACTTGCTGAGTAAATTCAGCCATCTTTCTGCCTGAAAATTGGTTATTATCACCCAACTCAAAGCTTGGGGTTTGCAAGAGACTAACAAGTCCTCAGCAGCAAACAGCGGTCAGAGGACCATGGGATGAGAAGCTGGCCACGCTCTTCTGGGATGCATTTTTTTGGTGTGCATTTTTTTTTCAAAGGAACATTTTATTGAGCCAAAAAAGTGAGAAAGTGCTAAAAATCCAATGGGGACACGTCCCCAAAACTCAGGATGCAGCTTGTAGAAGCTCCATTGGCCAATTATGGGTGACTACTGAGCATCAAAATGAAGAATGACAGGGATAGATTAAAACACACTGAATAGGAAATACTATCCACCATTTCATACTGATGCTTCATTATCTTAAAGGAGGTGATAAAAGGAAGATCTCTTTCACAAAAGGATGACAAATATAAGTAGAAGAAACGATAGAAGTGGAAAATCTGCTTATCACACCCACAATGGTAATAATGGATTCAGGTTAGATTCATCAATCGATACTCAACCAACCACTGGGAGAATGATTCCTGGGGAGCAGGATATTCAGTTTCCAGTTATCTCCCAAAGGGAGAGGATACCTCCATCACCTTGACACTGGAGAAATCTGGTGCACATCACCCTTGACCAGTTGATCAAACCTACCATCACCAATGATGGGGCAAGCTGACGATGAGCGCCTTCAAGTAGGAAGCACTGAGAAGAAGACACATCTGGGTAATATTCTTGCCAAAAAGTTTTAACATGAGTCTAATCATGAGGCTAGAACTGGACAGATCTACTCTGGGGGACATTCTGCAAAACTGGCTGAGCCCTCAGAAACGTCAATGCCAAGAAAGATGGGAGAAACAATGAGGGATGGTTCTAGATTGAAGCTGTCTAAGAGTCACGACACCTAAATTTACCACGCGGCCCTTGATTAGATCTCCTATCAAACAACAGTATAAAAGGCCCCAAAGGATATCCTTGGGATGGAGAAATGTGAATATGGGCCACATATGCGATGCATCGGTAGTGCATCGACGGGAAATTTCCTGAGTGGGAATGTTGCATTGTGGTTCTGTAGGAGAACGGCCTTGTTTTGGGGAAATTCTACTTAGGGGTGAAGTGACATGATGTCTGCAACTAATTCTTAAATAGTTTAGCAAAAATGAATGGGATGACCCAACCTGGGCCAATCAGAATCCTTCTCTGGGACTTCCTACATGGAACTTCCGGGGACCTCCTTCTGCCCTGAAATCATGGGGCCGTAAGCCTGTGATTGTGAACTTCTCAGTGTCACTCAGCAGGTGAACTCTGACCTCAGGTGTGTGGCTTGCTCACAGTGTCATGTATAAATGATGAGACGGGATGTGTTTGCATTCCCCACTCTGCTTTGTTTTTCAGATCCTGCAGAGCACAGTGAGCAGAGGATGCTTGGGACACATATGAAGGAAGTGGTCCTTCCTCGATGAGAAGCTGGATGTGAAGGTTTTCCAGCCCTGGAGCCCGGCGACTTACATTTGAAGCCCAGCTCAACGGTCTGGCCTTGGGTGAAGTGTTGAGGGTGCACGTGGCAACATCAGTCATAGGGTAAATTCTTTTCCACTGCCAGTGATTATGATGGTCACTACCATCCTCACCAGCTGGACCCTGACCGCCACGTGGATGCATCCAAGACACAGAGCTGCTTCCAGAGGAAGCCAGTTCCATCCGTGGGCAAGTCTGATCCTAAGGCCGAGCTAGGATCTGCCCTCTGTGAACCGTCCACACTGGCGTCCTCGCAGTTCTGAGGCACCAAAAGAACAGCTGGGCCCCAGATAGAGAACCAGCCCTCTTCCTCCTCCTGGATCCTGGCCCAGGTCCTTGCCAGGAGAAGTCAGGGGCAGGCTGGGAGGCCCTGACACCACATGTGGTATGCCATCCACATGTTCCTGCGGTTCCCACTCAGGCATGTCCCCCATCCAAAGGACGCTGGGGCTCTTCACAGACATTGTCAAAACTGCCCCGGGACTCCAGGCAGCAGCCAGGAGCGCTCTGGGCCCCCAAGTGAAAACCACCACAGGGGCTGCTCAGGGGGGCACCCCTGGTATCCTTCATGAGCTCCCCGGAGACCCAACTCCTCCACCACCCCGAGTGGCCAGTACTGGAGGGCCTCCTGCTTCCTGGTCTCTCACCATCCAGACGGGAAGGGGGCTCTCCTGCCCTGGACCCTCCAACTCCCTCTTCAGACAAAGTGGCCACACCAGCCAATCCAGTCTAGGCTTGGAGCGGAAGGAACCCCGGGGCCTAAGTGGAGGGGGACACCCCAAACTCTGGCCGCCCTGCTCAGCAAAGAAAAGGATGGTTCTCCGGAAAGAACAGATCCTCAAGCAATTAAATACCCTCCTCTCATTTGCATTCCGGTCCCTGGCGCAGATCTGTATCAACATCCCCAGGGCAAGACAATCTTGTTTCCCCAACAAAACCGATTATGCACATCAGGCCTGGGGATTAATCACCAGCCACAGGGTTGGGAGCCAGTAAAAACAGGCAGAGATGAGATGGGAAGATAGGAGCTGGAGGTGGGGAGGGGGCGCACTGCCAGGAGGAAAGTGCTGGAGGCCAGGGTGGGCTTGGGGGGCAGCTGCCTGACGGCTCAGGCTTCCTACAGGAACCTGCTTCATGGAGATCCTGTGCCCGACTCTCCTCTCCTCTCTCCCGGCTGGGCAGTGTCCCGGGGAGGCAAGGGCCAGTCCAGAGCTCAGGGCACCAACATGGAGTGGGGACGAGCCCAAAGGCCCTGGGCAGGCAGGCCACCTCCGTGTCACACCTACACTACCCCCAAATACCAGATGTCCTTCCCTCGCTGATCCCATGTTGCCACCTGTCCCCCACCCTACCGTGTATCGGACCCAGCCCCACACCCCCACCCCAGTGCCCCCAGGAGACAGCAGAGTTCTTCTCAGGGCTTGGGAAGGAGGGGTCTGGTCATAGGCACGACCACAGTGCAGCTGCTGGGGCTGAGCTTCCCCACCCCACCCATTGTCTCTACTCTGTTCCCTGTTGCTGGGGTCACCCCGCTGGGGTAGCACCCCTGGTGCACTCCCTAGACGTCCTCTGTTGGGCTCAGCAGGGCAGGGGCCTCTCACTCTTGGGGCACAGCGCTTTGCCCCCCACCTTTCTCCACCCCAGCCTCCCAGGAGCACTGGTGGCTGCCCCCAAACTGCCAGACAGGCCCCCACCCTGGTTCCCCTTCAGGGCACAGCCCTGGCGTTGGCCCTGGCAGCCAGGAAGAGGAGGGGAGGCGAGGGGAGGGGAGGCTTGCCTGTACTCCAGGGAGAACTTGGTCAGCTCTCTGTTGTTATGAAGCCACTTGAACTCCAGCGGCCAGCTGCCCTCGGCCATGCACGTGAGCACCAGCCGGTTCCCCTCCAGGTGCACCTGCGTCCGCACGGGCTCCGTCTTGAAATAGGGGGCCACGTCATCTGTGGTAAACAGAGACACAAAACCACCAGTTATCACTTGCTCACCTTTCGGGGGGTCGCTCCTGTCACGCCCTAAGGCTCCTGAGCACACAGAGCAGGTGCAGCCAGGTAACTTGCTCAAGGTCATGTGGCCCGGGAGGACTTGAACTTGGGGCGGTCTGACTTCAGAGCTTGATCTTCAGAGCGAGTCCTCCATGCCCACCAACACGTTCCCCACCTCCCCCTCTTCCCAGACCTCGCCAAGGCTCACTCCTGCTGCTGCCCCCATCCCGCTTTTCCTGCCTTTGTTCCGGTACTTTCTGTGTCTCTCCCCTCGGGATCCCCATCCACTGGATACCCTGTGCTTCTGGATTTCTCCCTCCAGGGCAGAAGGAAGGGAAGTACTTACTGCACTTCAGTCAAAGGGAATATAAATGTGACAAGGAAAACAACATGGGGGAGGGGAGGGTGGACACAAGTGGCAGGGGACAGGGACGTCCGAGTCCTGCCCCCAAGGCTGGGGGAGACCCTCAAAGACATCAAGAGTCCATCTGGCGGGTCCCCTCCATCGCCAGGCTGCTTGATTCCATCCCGAGGGTCCTTTGACCCTCAGCTTTGGCCAGAATTGGGCATCTGTGGTCTGCAGGTGGTTCACATTCAGGTCAAGGCCTCAGCCCGGCCTCAAGCACAGTCTGGCGACTCAGAGCGTCAGTGATGTACGTCTGGGGCCTGGTCTCAACCCCCCAGGGGGGATACTGGGGAGGAACCCCATCCCACCCCTGCTCCCGCCCCTCTGCACACCTCCTGACATGCCTCACAAAGCCCTTCAGAAGGTCTCTCTGGGGGAGCGTGCGGGGGGGGGGGGGAGCGCCCTCACCCGGCCCCGCTCCCTCACCCACCTCCGCAGGCTCGGGGGGCAGAGAGGCCAACAGGCACCCATTTGCAGGCGCGGATCTGCTGAAGCAGCGGCTCTGCTCCCCCATTTGACAAATGGGCACGTTCACACTTCAAAGGCACATTCCTATTCCCCAGCAGCGTTCAAGAGCCCTTTGAATCGCGTTTCTAAAAACCCTCTGTTAGTTCCTGTCATCACACGTTTGTTTTAAAACAATAACGCTCCCAACCCCCAGTGATTCAAGCCCGGGGATGGGGATGCGGGGCTGATTCAGAGCCAGAACATCAGAGGGGCGGGCGGGGCGGGCGCTTGCACACACACGCGTGCACTCACGCGCTCTGCGCCCAGAGCCCCGCACCTCTGCACGCCGGCTCACTGGGCAATCCGCTCCCGGGTCGGCGTGTGCCAGTTCCTCCCTCGGGCCCTCTGGGGGCACCAGCCTGGAGGAGGCCCGCGACGTGCCCGGGGAAGGGCCCACCCCAGCGGCCGGGAAGAGGCGGGCGGTGCTGGCCTTTCCCGAGAGAGCCCACTGGTGCCCCCGAGCCCCGAGCATCCCTGCATCCCTCATCTCACGTGATCCTCACAGGGAGGCCTGGGAGGGGCTAGGGCTCCTCTGCCCCAGCCCCTGCGGTGTGGTCCCCCCCAGCCCCCGATCTGACACAGGGGTGTGGGAGGCAGGCTCTACCCAGCACTGAGCCATGGCAGGAGCCCAGCCAGCTGGTTTTCCTTGATAGGCCTGTCATCTTCCAAAAGCAGGGGATGGCAGGGCGTCTGGCACTGTGGGTGCTGCAGGGGGGAAGGATACTGGGGCAGGGACAGCCGAGTGTGTGCACGCACGTGTGCACCCATGTGTAGGCTGTGTACGTGTCCTCGAGTGTCTGTGTGTATCTGTGTATGTATGGAGATGTGTTGTCATCTGTATGTGTGTGTCGTGTGTGTCTGGGTGTGTACTTAAGTGCAGGAACAGATTTCTGTCCCATGAATGCCCGCGTGGGGGACACAAATCAACTGGCCTTCGGCAACTTACTTATCACCTTTTTTATGCACTTCAATTTCCTAGTTGTAAATTAGGGGATCCGTTTGTGGTGTGGGTTAAATAAATTTTAAAACAGAGGTCAGAAGAGCGCCTGGAACACGCTATAGGAGGCACGGCTACTGTTACTATCCATCATACGTGAAGATGGGCAGACTACGGGAGAGAAGAGCTCGTGCCCTGTTGGCAGGCACCTGCAGCTCCTTTGTGCAGTACACAACTTGTACAACTGTACACAACAGCCCTGTTAGCCACCTTCTCAGTGGGAACGAGTTAACTGAGAACAGAAAAGAACTGTGGATAGGAAGGATCGATATTATATGGGTGTCATTCCCTTAAACTTTTCCTCACTTTGAAAACACACACACACACGAAAGACAGATTTTTTTTTAAACAAAGTGATTCTGAAATTCACATTAAAAAAAAATAACGAAAGGATAACCAAGAAATTCTGAAAAAGTATGGGAGATGGAGCAGACTAGCCCAGATATTCAACTGTTTCATAAAGTTGCAATAATTAAAACAGTGTGTTCTTGTAGAAATAGTCTGATGAAATGACAGAATCTAGAAATAGACCCCGATACATATGGGATTATTTAATATATGATGAAAGTAGAATTTCAAGTTGGTGGGGAAAAGATCAATTATTCACCAAATGGCTTTGGAACATCGAGGGAACCATTTGGGGGGGAAAAAAAAGTTGAATCTCTTCCTCACACTTTTCCTCAAAATAAATGCTAGATGGATCAATGTTTTAAGCATGAAAAACGAAATTCTAAAAGAAGTAGAAGAAACTCACAGAGATTTAAAAATATATAATCTTGAGGAGGTGAAGTATTCGCCAAGTACTTTCTAAGTACTACACAAACTCCAGGAAGTCATAAAACAGATTGATACCTTCAGCAATATAAAAATCCTACATGGAAAAAAAATACCCATAAACAAAAAAAAAAGCAACAAATGACAAACCCGGGGAAAGTGTTTGCGACTTCTCTCATGGACAAAGAGCTCATTTTTCCGATATAAAAAATATTCTCATAAATCAGAAAGAAGAAGATGAACAAACCAATAGAAAAATGGGCAAAGGATATGAAGAGTTCACAGGAAAGAATTACAAATAACTCTGAAATGCGGACAAAGATGCTGAACCTCACGATAAGAGAAAGGCAAACAAAACTCAGTAAAATATCATTTTTTTCCTATCACTTGGGCCCCGATCTGAAAGCGAGATAGTGCCCGGTGCCCGGCAGGCCGCGGGGACCCAGGGGTGCGCGCACACGGCTTTGGGGACAGCCCTTCGGGACGGTGTCTGCGGACAGTGGCCTGGTGCTGCCATCAGAACTGAGCATGCGGGCTCAGGGTGGCTCAGGGTTGAGCACCTGCCTTCGGCCCAGGGCGTGACCCCGGGGTCCTGGGATCGAGTCCCGCATAGGGCTCCCTGCAGGGAGCCTGCGTCTCTGCCTCTCTGTGTCTCTCATGAATAAATACATAAAATCAAAAAAAAAAAAAGAAACTAAACATCCTCCCCCCCCCCCAATCCACCACCTTCCAGTGACAGCACTTCATAGCAGCATTATGTTTGTAACAGCGAAAGCTCAAAAGTGACCCCCGAGCGTCCATCAGGAGGGCACCGGGTAGAGAAGCGATCGCATCTCCAAATTCGAGAATTGTCGCAGCGTCAGGCTCTGGGACGGTTCTTGAGAACCACCGTGAAGTGAAAACAAGCAAGGTGTGGAATGGACGTGGAATCTGCCACCATTTGTGCTCTTTTTTTCCTTGAAGCATAAAAATATATTTGCTTGTCTAGGCAGAGGCTTTTTCTAGGGGGTTACGTAAGAGACCGGGCTCAGCTGAGGCTCCAGGAGGAACCGGGTGGGAGGGGACGCACTTTTCACTCTGTGGCTTTGGGGAACTTCTGCTGCGTCCCGCAGGTATGGGTTAGTTATTTATAAGCCGGTCTACACCCGCGCGTGCATACACGCATGTGAGCGTGCAGGGGGAGCGGTCACGGGCCGGTCCCGCCGGGGACAGAGGAAAGGGCGGGGTGCGGCGCGGCTGGGGTGGGGGGCCCTGACCACCAGGGTCTGAGACCCTTGAAGGAAGAGCCGCCTTCGGAGGCGGACAAAAGGCCTCAGTCTTGGGCTTCCTTCTCGTTTCCCGAAACAGCTCAGGCGCCGCTGACCGCCTTGCCCTTCATATTCTCACTAAATACCCCCATTGTCACCCTCCCACCCGAGGCTCCTCTGTGGCCCTGCACAGAAGCTTATCTCAACTCCGGCCTCTCCCCTTCCTCCCACCCTCCAGCAGCATAACATCCTCTTTCTCTGGAGCCCCTCCATCACTCCTGGGATGGGACTTCCCAAGCCAGCCCCGGCCTGGGAACCCCACCTCCGCTGGAGCCAGAATCTCGCCGGCCAGGGTGAAGACCTCCGCCCACCACCCAGGGGCCAGAAGATGTCTATCGTCGTCCAGGACCAGCTTCCAGGGGCGAACCCCCGCCCGGCCCTGAAATGCATCAAAGCCCGTCTCTTGGCAGCTCCTCTCTGGACACACAGGAGTTCTAACTGCTTGGTCATGGGGTGTCTCTGGAATGCCTGGGAACCGGGTGGAGGTTGGGATTCTTGCAAACCTCTCTCCTCAACGTCCTCTGGTCTCTGGATCCTCACCTTTGTCCTGGATTGACCTCTGTGGCCCCCTAGCCAGTCCCGGCTGGACAGCCTGTGCACCCTGGAGCTGGCCAGGCCCTGGGTCATAGGAAGCAGGGACTCAGGGCAGCCCCCTCGCCTTCACCAAGCCTCACTTCTTCCCCCCACCTCTATCTCCACTGCCTTTATTTCATGCTTCTCACAGAGCTGTCCATATAGGCAGCATTTTATGTCCAGCATCTCACGGAGTCACGAGAACTTCCAAGAAAGGAAGTCATTACCCCCATTTTACAGATGAGAAGACTCACACTGGAGAAGGTTCGGTCATTTGACTCTGCCTTCCAGATGTGAAGTCAGGTCTGGCGGATCCCAGAGCTGCAGGTCTTTCCATATCTGGTAGCTGGCTGTCCTGCTCTTCATACCCCGACCTGTGGCCTTATGGGTGGTA